CTTGAGGGGGAGTGTTAGTTTACAGATATGTATAGTGTAGTCTTGTCCCACATTGGAAGAGGAGTAATATCTCCTTGTAGTGTATAGTTATAAATAGGGACCTCTTGTATTGTATTTATTATCCAATATCAATAACATATTTTCTCCCGTGCCTTCTCATATTAACAAAGAAAATGAATAATACACAATAGTAAGCATAACATTGTATGTATTTGAAAAACATAAGAAGTTACATAACCACAATAAATTAATTAGTAAAACAATGCCATACTCAGACATTTAAAAAAGGTATATCACACAAAAAAATATTGCACAACCATAATTTGATATTAAAAAATTAAATAAGCATAATAGATACTAGTTGAAAAAAACAAGGAAGGTTCCACATTATTATTAACGTCTGAAGAATAATCTAGCTAATTAGCAAAATCAAAAAATTCCCATTTTTTTCCCCGTGGCCTTAATCCAACTCTCTAATTTGTTGACTTCTGTAATTTTCATCCATGCTTTCCTATAGCTTTCACCTTCACAAAGTATACTAACAGTTGCACTGTATAGTGGTTCTTCCCATTCAAGTGCTTCTAATTTTTCCATACATTCCTCAATGTGAGGCCCGATAGGATATGTATAGCTTGGACTCCAACCATGAATTCCTGTTGCAGTAGAACCCTCAAAAAGTTTTGTACAAAGATCAGGGAAGGATAGAGGTGAAGTCTTCAATGCCTTTGCTTTTGGATGAGCCTGTAATAAATAGATTTTTAATATGCACGTCTTTTTCTTTACAGAAAAAAAAAAAGAAAAGTTAAATTACTAGATAATAAACTAACCTTTATGTACTCATCCCACTCACTATTAGACATTAGAATGGTATTGGTTGCTGGGTCATAAATATTGCCAGTCTTTTTAGTTATTGGCAACCAAGCTTGATACTTTTCTTTTAGATAATCATAATGATTCTTCATCTGCTTTTGTGTGACGCTAAAGCCATGAGAAATCTCCAAAACTAGTTTAACCTTGTTCCATAAATCTGCCTTCAAACTACTTCCAAGTCTCCCGTTTAAGGATATTTCTTGAATACAACTTTCTAAAAAGGTTTTTACTACATCCATATTTTTCTAACTCACCCTTGAATTTTCACTAGATTGTTCCATAGCTGAAATATAAAATAATAATGATTATAAAAAATGAACTGATGAAAATAAAAATAACAAAGCTGAGACAATCAATAAAAACAATCAAAAACAGAAAAAGAGCTTTATATTTAGCAGAAAAAATCTGTAGAAGCAGAAACAACTTTAAGACAGCCGGTCACAGTTTTTTCACTTATCCGATACTGCTGAAACTTCAATAATCCGAACTATACATTCGTTATTTCATTAAAACTGCATAATTCTTCATCTTGTCTCAACAAATTAATGCAAGATCCAAATAAGGAGAGCAACAATATACCACAAAGACTTTAGTAAAAGGTGTTTTTGTTCGTTTTATACATATTACTCGAAGCATCTATACCTTTGAGACCATGCACAACATCTGTATAAATTAGATGCTTCCATTATATTTGCCTAGCCTATATGATAACGACAAGATCGGGAATCCAAACTAGAGTAAGAATTTGAAAAGTAAATGCGGAAGCAATAACAATAAGGAATTGAACAACTAGAACTAAAGGGCAGAAAATAAAGGATATGGGAAAATTCAAGGAAAGAATTCCAAAGAACGTCCAAGAACGCAAGTTCTATAGCCTTGACAAGATCAAAGCAACAACGTCTTGATTTATTGAAGAAATCAAACGCCTTTACTTAAAAGCAAATCAAAACAATAGATTCGGATCTTGACCGCTTTACGAGTAACTTGAGACAACAATTAATAACTAGTATTAATCGCCTTCTGAGAATACCACAAAGGAATCAAAGATATCACAATAGAGAAGTAATCTTACTACCTTGAACTATGAACTAGTAAAGGTTGAAAGATAAATCTCAAAGCACAAGTAACAAAGGTTCAAAAGAACTCTCAAAGTATGATATACTTAATCAATAATGAAGTGTCTCAATGAATGAGAAGAACTCCTTATTTATAGGAGTACTAAGGCACAAAAAGTCCTTAAAATTAAGTAGGGTGGTTGCTAAGGCATAAAAAGTCATTACAATTAGGTAAGGTGGTTGCTAAGGAGTAAGAAAAGTCATTACAATTAGGTGGGGGCGGCCAAATCCCTTTGGGGCAGATTTGGACCTTAAAACTACTAGTTTGGGCCATTGATTTGGACTCCAATTGGGCTCCTTTTGAAACACCCCCTTTTGGACCTTTTTTAAGCTCATTTTGAGCTCCTTTGGTGGACTTCAAGGGCTGATTTGGTGGCCCAATCTTCCTCCTCTTGGACCTCAATTTGGATCACCAAATAATTGTAAAACTTGGATAACTCATCTACTTTGGGCTTGAGCTATTCCTCTACAATTAAAAACTTCTTTATTTGCCATTTGAAGTCCAACAACCTTAGATTGCAACTCTTTAGCTTGAGATCTTGTAAATGGCCTTGGAGCTTCCAAAACTCTATCCTTGTCCTTGATGCTATCACTATAGTTCATCACTAAGAATAAATATTCTCTTCTCTGTTTCTAGCTTCTGCCTCCCTACCCTGGGTAGAAGTAAGGTCTGCGTACACTCTACCCTCCCCAGACCCCATTAGTGGGATTCTATTGGGTTGTTGTTGTTGTTGTTGTTTGTCTGTTTCTAGCTTCTCTTCAGTAGAAAAATAATGGCTAAGAGCAGGAAAATAAAAACCAGTCCACTGGAGTCATAGGGTAGGCAACTAAAGTAAAAAAATATGATACCTATTTCAACTTCTTGAAAATGCATCATACTCTCAATGTGCATTTACAAAATTCTGCTTTTTACTAAACTTAAAGTCATGACTGCATAGTAGTTATACTTAATGTTTGTTTATCTTGTTTTATATTTCTGCCCCATATTGATATTGTGTATGGCAAGATTGGGAAAAGCAGGTTCCTTCTTTTTAACTTTTTTTTTTTTTTTTTTTTTTTTTTTTCATAGTTTCGTCGTTTCTTATTCTCAGTATTCTAGTGATTGAAAATCTTGCAATGGACTGTGCAGGCAAAGAAGGCAAGAGAAAGAATACACGAAGAAAGATCTTAGGAATACTAGTAATAAAGAAATATACCATTTTATAACATATTATTCGAAGAGAATGAATAGAGGGGACTAATTCAAAGAAGAAATAAGAACCACATTGGCTTAAATAAAATTAATATTCACTTAGTTGACAGCACGTTTAGGATCTATTTTATGCTATTGGCTATAAACTCAAATCAGATTAGCTGCAAATCCCATACTTTATATTATCCCAAATTCAAAAAGTAATCAATGTATGAAGGTGCACATGCAAAAGGGATATAATGAGAGCCTTTGAATCTGTTTTCAATTTTGACTACATATTTTACACACAAGACACAAAAAGAGACAGCTACTAAGGTCTAAGGTCCGACTCAAGTTCAAATACTAATGCTCGAGTTCCATGTGATATTGCCGACTCACCAACACATGAGTTTCAAATTGTCATTTCACGAAGAGGAATAGAAAGTTTAGTAAAAAAAGACGCTCATGAGATAAGGGCGAGAAGAAAGTTTATAAGTTCTTTCAGAGAATAAAAAAGTAAAACTTTTACATCGGCGTTTTGTGCGCTATCGATTAGGCCGTCGTTAAAAAGTATTGAACAATTCTCCAAAGTGAGAAAAAGAGGAAGATATGCTACAATTAACATCAAATCTATATGTGGTACAGGGCATATTTTTTCGAGAATCTAATAGCTTCATAACAAATTAGTGAAATAGAAGAAGGCTAAGAGTCGCACATGAAACTGAGTCACTAATTTGATGTGCCTTAAGATAATTGAAGCCTACTTCACCCGATAGAATTATGAAACCAGAAATATAATGCTCATGTTATGATACTTATTAATGCTTGGGTTGAAAATTCACTTTCTGGAAAAATCGAAAACCCATTTGCTAAGATAATCCAGAGATAAACCTCAAAAATTTTGTAGAACTTTTTTCTAATTTTTCACTGTAGAATTAACTATTAGAGAATACGAATTGAAATCTTGAAACTCAAACAAGTATTTCACAGAATAATAGGCAAGCGTATTGCGAATCTCATAAAATAATAACACAAATACTTTCTAAAGGTTTTAGAACTTACCTGTTCAAGAGAAAACAAATTTGAGTAGACGATGATAGATGGAGAGTGAGAGAGGCGTGAAATTTACGCACAGAGATTGAAGAATTGAAGCGTGAAACTTTGCTAAAATAAAGCCTTATTGTTGAGCGAATCTTTGCGGAAATAAAGTCGTATCGTTTTTTCTAAAGAGTCTTAACGCTAGTAGAACTTTGTTATGGATCTGGCCGAATCAGATCCTTTCAGACCTATGAAAAGCTTTTAAAAGAGAAAAAAGAAATAGACTTAATGAGCTGGATCTGAATAATTAGAGTTAAGATTTTAAAAACAAATGCACTTAATGGACTAGATCTGAATGATTAAGATTCAGACCTCCATTAAGTGCAAACAAATGAGACCTTAGTAGTTTACAAGAGCAGTAAGATAATGTACCATATAGGATGATGATCTAACAACAATTTGGAAGTTAATCAACCCGACTACACAAGATAGATATTCTACATGAGGTTAACAAAAGAGTCACTGGTTATTGGCTTCAAGACAGAGACGAGTTGACTAGGGTCATAAGGTTAAGATAGGGCTAGACTTTCTCTCATGGACCTTTTTATACTATATTATGATATACAACCGCCATACAAAATGATTTTTCTGATGAATGAAGAAGATGTCGGAGCTTGTACTGAAAATTGATAAGATTATAGTGAGATTTTAGACAGCAGAATGTAGCATGTAGAATATTGAAAGTCAAGAGAAATGTTAAGAATAATGTGTAAAATATTTTCAATGAGTATACCATAATAATTTAGAACTCCAAGAATTAGAAAATTTTCTTTAATATCACGCAACTCAAAACTCATATGTAAGGAGCTTGTTTTAGACCACCAACTCAATAAGAGCTTTCTCCATCCCTTTCTCTGTTTTTACATGGTATTCAAGCCTCTACACTATTTAGAGCAAAAGTAGCTAAAGCCTATGGACAGTTTTTTTAAATGCGAAAAGCATAAAAAAGCGACAAGGTCAAGGGGGCATGAAGCAAAAAGCAAGAAGTGCATCTTTCTTCGAAGTGAAGTGCACAATTCATGACATTAAGAAAGTACCAAATATATATGAACTTATTACTATAATGATTAAATTGGAATTAAAATAACTAATTTCAGTATCTAATATTCCTTAATGACAATAGGAATCCGACTCCTCAAAGTTGAGAGTTAAAGAACTGATTGTTTCTTGCTGGGATCACTTTCTGCCTCATTGTTTGAAGCGCACACTTCTATGAAGCACATGGCTTCACCTATGAAGCGATGACATTTAATAACAGTGCCAATGGATGGGTGGCCTTATGCCACTTGCCCTGTCAATGTTTTTCCTTCTATCCCTTATCTCCAGTGACCATCATGGTTGTTCTCTCACTTCATTGACCACTAGGCCGCACCCTTAGTTTAAAAAAATGCTCTTCTTTTCCTTTCTATTTGTTTTTCTCCTATTCTGAAGGAAGAAAATTGGAACTTTTATAATGAAAATGTTGATGAAAATAATAGTAGCATTTTTGGAGCCAAATCCATCCTTGCTCTTTATAAGAATGTAAAATTCAATTTTGATTATTTAATTGAATGTTCATTGTTTAATTTGTGAGTAGAGTGTTTGTATAAAACACATAGATATTTATAGAATTTAAATTATTTGTATTAAAGTGTGTTCTTTTACAATGTGACTAAAAATTCATAGAGTTCAACTGTAATTAGATTTCATCCCTTGTTTTATCCATACATCATGTTGTGACTAAAGGTATTGGTAACTGTAAAAGCAGATATTTAGCTTAGAATTTGAGAAACAAGGGGGTAGATCGTGGGCCTAAGGTTTTGAGATAGAGAGAAGCCCTTTACAGCAAATACAACAACTACACCTTGGTCCTAAACAAGCCTGCTTTTCCTAATATAGGTTCCATTATCCATTTTCTTTTCTCCTTCCCAGAAAGAAAAATAACTCTTAATAAGGAAAGCTTTGATATGATTTC